TCGAAAAAAAAAAAAAAAAAAAAAAAAAAAAAAATCACCCTGTATATATATATATATATATATATTGTTTTTAATACGATTCCTCCCGGCGCCCGCGAACTCATATATTGAAAAGGGACTGCGCGGGTACACCCGATGACAACGACCGAATTTAACAAGCTGTCCCTCACTGATGGTATGCGCGCGGGTGATGAATTGTCCGGACGAACGTCGCGACGATATGGGTCCTTATCTATGTAACCTTTGAACGGTCGTGACGGAGAAACGCGCGCGCGGGAGGGGCGGGAAATAATACAACGCAACAAAACTTTAACCGATAGCCAATCGAGAATGACTGATGTGACTTGAAACAAGGGACTCCTCGATATCAGTCAAGCTCGAATGCGACTATTGTTGTTGGTATTATTATTATATTTTATATTTTATTGCCACTTTTTTTTTTTATTATTTTTCATTCTTTTTATCTTTTCGCAATTTTTATTTATTTATTTTTATTGTTTGACGTCGAACTGATTCCAAACGGATTTATATTTATTTTTTCGTAATTATCGTGTCATTGCGTTGACATCGTATAAACAATAATGACGTTGGGTTAGATTCACGCACTGTAAAATAATTATTAAATTTCTTTATCATCAGAGAATTGAATTTACGCTCAATTTTATCAAAATATGCCTATTAAAAAATGATCATAAAATAGAAATTCGAATATTTTATTTAGCAAGCTATAAAGTGTACGTGTTTTGAATTTCGTTCAATAAATTTCATCATGCTGAACAAAAACTGAAAACACGATTAAAAAAAAAAAGAACTAGTTTCCATAGAAAAACTGAAAGAGTGAAACGAAGAAGAATTTGTTCTCTAAAACTCGCCTCGTTGAATTTATTAAACAAGTACAATTATTTTGTAATTCTCGATTTAATGAGTTTCATAAAGAATAACACTTTGGCAAACTCAAAAATCAAAAAAATCTAAAGTCCTCTAAAATGTGTGAATTTCTAAGTATCGCCTAGGCAATTAGTAAACCCCGATTCTGAAGCATAAATCACATTTTGCCGCAACTTAGCTAATATTCGGTTAACCGAGAAAAAAACACGTAAAGTATATAAATATCTGGCTTAAATATATAAATATGATATTTATCTAGGCAATAAGTTTAGAGTATGACATGTTTTAATTGGCAAAATGTATACTTTTATCTTAAGGGTGGTTGGGGGAGTGTTTCCATTTTTCGGTTAAAAAGTACATTCGTATTTTCATACATTTAATTCAAATTTAATAATCGGTTCTTCGATATATTGTGTTTTGAAAATTGTTGACTTGATACGTTTCCTTTGCAGTTTCGCCACATATAATTATACTCGTGCGCTTAATTCCCGGTGATATTTCGCATTACGACACTATAACGTTTGCGCGGTTTTAAGTTTGAACATAAATCAATTTGCAACGAGCCGTGCGCCGTGTAAAGTCGTAGGTATAAAAGCAAAACCGAACCGCGTTCCCGAATATTACTATCGCCCGTGTCGAAATTGTGTTTTTATAATAATATGAATTTATGCGGCTCTAGAATTTCCGCTATTCCGGGTTTCATATTTACGGTTTGTTTGTTTTATTTGTTTATTTATTTATTTTTTTTTTTTTTACTATTTTTATCGGACAGAAAACTTTTAAATTGTGAAATTCCATAAAATAACAAATATACCAGAGTCAAGTCCGGCACGCCAGCCGGTGGTCCACCCGGTCGTTTTCTCTATTATTTTTCAGGTTTTCCCGTCACCCGAAACGATATAGAGGCCGTAGGTGGGTAATTTTGTTTATTACGTTTATCTCGAAACGAAAAAGAAAAATCGCAGTATATTTACTGGACGGAGAACGTTATCCCGGAGAAATCTCCAATTTCCTTTCCGTGAATTGTGCCACATAATAATAAACTCGCTGTAGCAAGAATGCGTTTCTCGAGGTTTAACAACAAATACTGCGACCTGACATCAACGGTCTAAACATTTAATATAACATGTAATTTTAACACGAGTATTTGGTGTGTGTGTGTGTGTGTGTGTGTGAAATATTTATGTAGGTACCGACATAATACAACTGTAATGGTTTAATGAATACGCGTTTCCATACGCGATTTTGTTTATTGGCTCATGAATGAGTTATGATTACATTTATAAAATCGATTAATTTAATTTTCTCTACTGGAAATGTTACTTTGTTCGCGTGAGTTTCCCATAGAGAATACGAAGTTCAGCACAGGTACTTACTTATTAATTTACGAAATTACACTTCCGCGTAAAGAATTTAATGCGATTATCGTGTTGTGTCATTGCATTACTACGCAAATCGACTATATTATTATTATTATTATTTTTTTTTTTTCTATTAAATCAAACGTTTATAATATTTATAATATTTATTCATGGTAGATAGTCACCGTATTTCCTTCCATCAATGAAACTGTTTGTCAAGACCTAGATTTAAATTACATCTTCTCCCCTGCCCTCCGAAATAACATTGAAAAAAAAAAATGCATATTTTAACGTCATAAAATCTTCTTCAACGGCAAAAACATTATTTGAAAAAATTACATTCAACTTCGGATGATTGCATTTTAAATAAGAACTATATTTTTTTGTCAAACATACACGTGTTTTAGATTTGTAAGTTTGGGATACTTTTTTTTTAGAATTGTTTTAATTTACTTAGGTACCTATAAATTATTTTTTTAACGAATTCAATCAATTCTGGTCATTAATCGGTTAAAAAGTTTTAAGTTTACTTCGTACTAACCTTTTGCTTTTGACGTTTTACTATCTTAATTTATCATTTAATGCGTTTACGTTAGTCTAATTGTTTATTTTATAACGACAAGTTAATTTACATTTTTTTTTTTTTTAATTTTTGAAATTTATTCATATAATATTTTTAAACTATAGTAATATTATTTATACACATATTATTTTTCTTAACTGTAACGTTATGTTCTGAATTTTTTTTGTTTTAATGAATTCATACTTAACATAAATACATAAGACATAACCCATGGTTATGTTTTAAAAAAACTGTTAAAGTATCGTTATAACTTATTTTAATTACCCAACTCAACTAGTTTAGTATTATTTTATCAACTTGCTCAAACTTATTCTTAATATTAATATATATATACTTTTAAATGATTTCGAGGGTAATTGATTGGAAAATTGTCACCGTCATTGTTTTATAACATAGTATATTTATTTTATGAAATATTATCAAAGTTGAACTATGCTTTCGGCTACTCTATTACATTTCATTTTTTAACTAATTGATGTGCTCGACAAATATGGCATATTATGTATAGGTAGACGAATTGTTTCAATAATTATTGCAATGTCATAGAATTGTATTTTATTATATAACACTTAAAAAGTCCAACATTCAAACAGGTGCGAACATTTTCTAAANTAATTATTGCAATGTCATAGAATTGTATTTTATTATATACCACTTAAAAAGTCCAACATTCAAACAGGTGCGAACATTTTCTAAATATGTGTTGTACAGTTATAGTCTAATGTTTTATTTCAAAACGATTTTTAAAAATAAAAAAAGTTAAGTAGAAAATTAGTATATTACACAAATATTTATATTTCAATCTTCGAAACTTAATGAATACTATGTTTTTTTTTTTATTAATAACAAATTAAACATCGAAAACTATGCGATAGTATGTATAAGCCCCAATCGAAACGCGACTAAGTCGTGGTACTGTTACTGTTGACTAATTATGTGTTTGGTTTAATTTAGATTCGGAGAGAGGCGAGGAATCAATGTTTTTTACAACGATGTGTGCTTTTCTGGCCCTTTTATATTATCGAATAAAAACTTGCGAAAATTAAAAAAATAACAACATTTGACTATTTTTATTACATTTTAAATCTAGTTTGTTGAGTAAGAAATTGAACAAAACCGTAAAAATCATAAAAAAAAACGGGAAAGTTTACGGAGATAATAATTTCATTTAATTTTTTTATTGTAATTCAATTAAAAATATCCTTAAACTTCCCTAGAGTTTTATTATCGTTTGTATTTAATGATAAAAAAAAATGAATGTGGTAATATTGGGGATGTCTTGTTTATAATCGTTTTAAGATCGAATTTTAATGAAAATCGAAATCATTACCGTCTTTCAAATCATGTAAAAATAAATTTCGCTCAGAATCATTTTTCGTTAGCAATGGTTTATCGTTGTTTACATATATAAACTAAATAACCTTATGTATTATACCTTCCCGAATTCCCGTCCACAGCAGTGGTACACCCATCGACAGTATCAGCTCTTTTTACATCATTTGAATAATATTTAATTTGAACATTAAAAAAAAAAAAAAGAAATGTATTATGATAGTTTACTTGGTATTCTCCACAACGCCAATGACCTCCTATACCATTGTTCGTCGCGCAATATGTTTAGCATACGCATTGTACGTTTAGAAGCGGATATACGAAACTGCCGAACTTGCAGATGTTAACTTTGCGTACATGTTTTAGGAAAACAGACGACGTGTCGGATCTATCAATCATCATATTGTTATACATACCGTAAACTATGACAACAGATTAGATTCCTTTTTATACCTACTCTATATAATAGTACGCTAACCGGCAGCTGTTTAGATATTACTGTTATTGTTCGTACGATACTGAACGATTTTAATATGCATAATGTTCAAATACGGTTTAGTTCAATTACTGCAGTTTTCATCTAACGACCCACGAACCGGCCTTTGCTGTAATTGTCCGAAACACGAAATTATAATGCTATAAACGATCAGGTAATGAATTAACCAAATATTTAAAATGTATACATTATCGGTGTAGCATAGATTTACTAAGTAACAAACTAATAAATAGTAATAATATACCGATTAGTGAATGGAATATCGAGTAAAAAAGAAAAAAATGAGATATTTTTGACGGTGGAACATTATTTTGGTTCAATGTATTGGAATTTTCTCCAGTTCACAGCATAGTTTCTCTTTTTTCTCGGAAACATTTTATAGGTAAGTAATAAGCGTCTAAATTGTTTCCATTGTATGTTAAAAAATTCTGATTTTTCATACGGAAGATTTTTATTTAAAAAAATAAAATGCCTAGATTTCCAATAGATTTTCTATAAAACTAACAACAAATGGGAAAATTTGATTTAAATTGTTGCTTTGTAAGGGTCACATTTGCTAATACTGCTTTGATCAGTGTAATTATCCGTTAGTAATGATTTTGAATTGTTCAGTATCTTAACTTCCAATTTATAATTTATAACGGTTGCCTATTCATGGGCAATATCAAATATTTGATATTCCGATAACAATATCGTACACGCATTTCTTGCAATTATCTCATATTAAAACCCAATGTTTTCATACATTTCCGAATTTTATGTGTCTTAACTATTATCAATTGATACTTTTTTGTCGAATGTCCGAATATTAGTGTTATTGCAATGTATTGTTTATTAAGTTTCATACTGCCTTAGTGTATTTCAAGTGGTCGTCCGAATGAAATTAGCTGCCGATTCGTTATTTGGATTCTTTTTATAAATAGATTAAATTGAAAATTAAGTTAAAATTTACTACAAAATAAAGCACCAAATTTTGTTGGAAAATATTGATTTTTAGCTTTGAACACCATTATGGACACGCAAACTGATTTAGGAGGATGCAATTGTCAATTATATTATGTGTATTGCGTTAGTGTCGAAGATGCCCTTTATGGGAATTTGATTTTTAATCACTTATCCCATTATATTTTCATGCTAACATAATGCTATTTTTATTTGAAACTAAACTGTTCTAAACTGGTTTGGAATTCGACTCGAGTGACGGAGCTTTACGCCGAAGAATTATAATATTTTTCTTATATTACATTTTAAATATTATTCTTTAATTGCGCATTTTTCTAAACGATTTTACGAAGTTTAGGTAGTTTAACTAAAATATCTTATGTACCGGTTTAAGGTTATTAAACAATGTACATTTATCATAAAATTAATACCCGAAATGCCTTCATAGAAAATATAAGAGCATTATGGAAGAAACTTTATTTTTCATAAAATGAATTGCGTTTTTGTACGGCGGAGAAGTCTTAAACAGTTTGTTTCTTAAACACTTCACTTCGGTACTGGCGTATAATTAATTAAAACCAAAATATAATGTTATAGATGCTCGGAGAGAGAAAAAATTATAAAATATGCGTTCATTTCGACAACCATCGGACGGAAGAAAATAGTTAAATAATTGTGCGTTAACCCTTAAGATTTATTTATTTATAATTATTATGCAAATCGCTGTGCACCGAAAATAATATCGTGTTTATCATGTTAAATATTTACGTACTGTATTATATGCAGTGTTGATACTCAGAAACGAAGATAATTACACCAAAATCATCTAAAAACACAAATCAAAAAAAGAAAATATTTTAACTACTTCAGATATGTAAACCTTTTTAAAATGAATTAAAGAAAAATGCTAGCTTTTTAAATTACTATTTGTTAAAAGCACTATGGTAGGGATATTTAAACATATGAATAACTTCGAATTGTTCAACTAATAGTAAAAAATATAGGTACCTTTTTTGATTTGATATTTTTTTACAGTTGTATTTTATCTAGATAATTACTGAAAATATAATGACATTTTTACATAACATTAAAACGAAAAATTATAATTTGGATATATTTATCTAGGTAAGTCTCAACGTAAGTGTAAAAGCTGAACGCCGTATAATTACCTTGTGTAATTTATTGTTGCACGGAATTTTAATTATTTTCATTGGATATTTAAAAATCAGTTTTGTATTGTAACGGCATAGCTACTACAATAGCCTTTATATTTTTTGTATAAAGGCAATTAATTTATCAAACGAATGACATTTATTGTATTTTGCATTATAGTAACATTATTATTTTATATGTAACCTTCGTTTTGAACCCCTATTCGTGGATAACAATTTTATTTATTTTCACTTACCTATATATACATCATAACATTATATTTTTATTTCGATTAAAGTACTTATAAAATATTGTTTTAGTTTTTGTTTTACGATCAATTTTTTATCATTTAATTGTTGATTAGATTAAAAATTAAATAGAGGATTTTTTTTTTTTTTTGTAAGACGATCCCGAAAGCAGGAAAATATAATTTGTTAGAAGTGACATAATATGAGTACATAGTTTACACATCATTTTTGTTTGGCATTTTGGTTTAGCATCCATATCGAATATGATTGTTGGATGCAGACAAATGAAAATGCACCAAGGGTCAATGTGATTTAAAATAAGATGAAAATTCTCATATTCTACATTTTATGCAGGTACTAGAATGTTTACACGATTGCCCAAAATCTCTACCATTATTTATTAATAACAGTCTTATGTTTGTTTGTAAGTAAATATATTTTAATACGATACGAGCATTTATAGAAATGATTAAACAACATGCACGTGTATTTTTAACGACAATACTAAATCGTTTGGATCCAAATGATTCAATTAGTACTGATAACGGGGCGACAAGATGAATAAAAGGAAGTAAGTACCGAAAGTACCGTTCAATAGAGACTGTATTAGAAATACTCGGCTAAGCCCGGTCGGAGGCACGATCATACCGATATTGCGATTCCATAGTGTCGAATACAAAATATACACTATTCAAATAAAAGCGAGACACTTCATATGCATATTATCATCTCCGAGCAACCAGAGCGCGTACCTGTTTATATTGTCACGATGTTAATAATAATATTATTAGCGGCTATATGCTGTTAAAATATTGTCAGGAGGTATTCAATTGAGAATACATTACGGTATTATAATATTCTGTACGTATACATAGACAAAATCGTTTTCGTTACACGCACGTTATTAGATTGCCTGTGCAGAGTTCCGGGAAATTTATAACATACAGAAATAATAATATTATTTCGTATATTGTTAGGTTTTTTTTTTCGCTACTATTTTATCACGGCCTAGGAAAAAATACGTTGACTGAAAGAGATTTTACTTACTCAAGAAAATAAGTGCGTGCTTGAGAACAGGCAGTTTTCTAGGAATTTTTTAAATTACACAATTTCATCAAATAAATTCGAACTTGAACCGAATTCACATTTAAATGCGTTTAAAAGTAGTTTCGGATTATTTTCAAAAAATATTTATTATGTAATCGTGAAATTGACAAAACCATTTACAGGAAAACAGTTCGGTGCGGGCAAAAACTACTCGAACTGTAGACTTAATTGTGAAACCAAATGTTTACTTTAAATTTTGATAACTGGCAATGTGTAACGATTTTCGAAACAGCAACTAGAAAAAAAATTGGTTGAGTTTAAAGAACCGAAAAAAATACCATATATTGAAAAAACATTAACTTGTTTTTACATGTCGTATTAAAATCTGAAACCGACTGTGCGATCGCAGTTCTGTTTTATTTTCGCCCAAACGATTCTATAGACCGATAATCTTTGCTTACGCGAAACAGTTTTTCTTCAAATGGTGTCCAATTTACGGCTTGACACAACGGCTAACACCCACGACTGTATAGCGGCTATCATAAGATGCTAAGGGGGCTATTGCTGCCCCCGTGGATTGTTTTTATTAAAGGATACGGTTTTACGATATGAGTGTTAATTACGTGTGTAGCTCATTCGTTCTCCCCTGAATGAACGTTTTATCCACTGAACCCTATAAAAACGATTTAAGGAGAAGCACCATGCTAGAAAATAAACGCAATTGTTTAGCCGCATAACTAATTTACATATAAATAACAAAAATATACATTAATTGAAATGATTTGATTACTGCCTTTGCTCAAAATTATGCAGGGTGGGTGCAGCTATTTCAAGTGAAGTAAGTACAGTTGGAAGTTGTGTGTCAAATCGTGATGCCTTTATCTTTATTCAAACCCGTATGTTGTCCATACCTACACATACGGTTAATATTTTTCAACACAATCACCCCGCAGTGCTAAATCTCGATGTTGGACAAATATATAACAGAATTGTTTACTTTGATAAGTGAAACATTTCCAAAAAAAAAAAATCTTCGAAATACGCCGGAAAATTATAATTCTTGTGAGAGAACAAAGGTGAAGCGTGTCACGGTATGCGACTTTCAAAAATGAATACCGCCCAAAATTATGACGAAATTTATAATATCGAAAGATATAAACAACTTTTAACAAGTTTGTATTTATGTAGCGGGGCTTCGTACATAAATGATCAACACATAACGAAAACACATTCTTGTACGCGAAAACACACATTTTTCTTAGTATATTGTATTATTATGGAGTATTTTTAGTTTCAGTGTTAAATATTTTGAAATATTACGACGATACGGTACAGCGAATAATTAATTTTGGTGAAAATAACCAATGACGACACGGACCCATCCGTTTAACATTTATCATTATTTACAGTTATTTAGAGATCACTGATATTGATATTATTATGTTTTCCTACAACTAGATGATATTCTACGGTCTTGATGAAAACGAACATTTACAATAAACGTACACGTAAATAAATTCACGTCCGCAAAACGACACGGTTTTTGTCCGTATAGTAAATTATATTAATAATTATTTGACTAGG